CGGCTGGACCATGCCCAGCTGCGTTTGCACCGGGATGGACACGCCACTGCTCTCGCCGTTGCTTTCGAGCAGCAGAATGCTGAATGGAGAGATGGGGCAGGTGGAAAACCCCAGGGGGGAGAGGGGACACCAGGCAGAGCCTGAGCCTCGCTGCCCCCGTGAGCACAACCGCACGCCCCCCGCGAGCTCTGCCCACGGCTGGGGGCTGCACTGGCATCTGCCCCGGGTACGGCTGGAGGGACCTGGACGGGATTCTGGCTCGGATTCCATAAATCCTGGCGTGGTGCTGTGCCTCCATTTCACAAGGTCTTGATGATCTCTGTATGGATTATAAACAGGACTTCTGGCCAAACCGCCTCGACATTGATTAACTTCTCAGGATTAACTCAATTAGTCCATCCTGTTCATTTCCAGAATTGATTTGCTGGAAGGTTCTGGCGGTCAGCAGCTCTGCAGCAGATCCAGGAGCCCAGGCTCGGGCTGTGGAGCCGTTCTCCAGCCTCACCGGCTCCGGGTACGAGCTCAGCTCTTGCCCCAAGAGAGGGGCTGTTCGGCAGGGCTGAGATCTGCTCAGATACGCCCAGGCTGGAGCTCGTGGTCTGGGATGTGACAATCCCTGCTGGGAACCAGACTGAAAACCACCCGAATCCCATCGGAGAGCCCATCCTGGTCAAGCCATTCAGTGGGAAATGGAGGGACGGGAGGTTAAGCAGCTCAACTCGACGGTATCGGGGCTGGGAGGCAATGCGCACCCGTCTCCCACCTCCCACGCTTCTCCTCTAACCCACCGCGCCGTCTGCTGCGGCTGATGCAGCCAGAAACATCAAGGGATGTTCCCTCCGTGAGATGAAACGGCTGAAAATGAAACCAGATGGATGCGAAGAACTTTGTAAAGATGCTGGTAACCATGGCGATGAGCTGCTTTTCCCCCCCTTCATCCCATCTACCTTCCATCGCCGTCCCCGGCACAGAGCGAGATTTCGGCACCAGTTACATAAGGCCGGGAACAATGAGCCAGGCGCAGCGTGAACCTGCCGTCGGCCCTGTGTCCCACGAGGCCGAGGACTTGGCGTGGGCTTGGGAAGGCGGACGGCATCACCCCGAGCTGCTACCCACATCACAGTCCCCCCGAAAACCACGGCTGCCCCCAGCAGAGGGGATGCTCCAGGGACGCTGGGGACTCATCCCGGGAGGATGATTTATTGCCCAGGTCCAGACCTCGTCCTGCAGCACCCATGCGGAGTTCTCCGGCTTCACCCTGCCTGCCGCTGCGATGAATAACCCAGCTGGGGAAAAAACCAACTTACTGACCTACTTCAGGCTGCGGCGCCTCCGATTTTATACAACTTGACAGCACCATGTCACAGCTGGAGAAAAATGGGATGAGATGCGATGTGGCAGGGTGGATGTCAGAAAGCCTGATGGGGTAACGTGACAGGCAGCCACGCAGGGCTGGTGCAGAGCTCATGGGGCTTACACAGAGCCCATGGGGGAGCCCATGGGGCCTGACCCCCAGCCCGTGGGGCCAACACACAGCCCATGGGGCTGACACGGAGCCTGTGGGGCTGACCCCCAGCCCGGGGGGTTGTGTGCCAGGGCAGTGCTCACACCACATCTGCCCCAGGGATGTGGCAGCACGGCGTGGGCACACTTATGGCCATGCCAGCACGGGCCAGCCAAGCTGGCTCTTCCCTTGCCACCCCTGCTGAGAAGAGGGTCTCCCCCACTCCAAACACCCTCCTGGTCCTGCCTGACACAGGGGTCCTGTCCTTGCTGGGGACAGCTGATGTCCCAAATGTCCACGGTGCTGGGAATGACGAAAATATCCTCCTCCCATCCCATCCTGTCCTGTCCCATCCCTGCTGGGGAGACCGGGAATTATGGGCAGGAGAAAAGACAGCGTGTTCCTCCATGGCAGCCCCCAGCGCAGCCTTGACCCTGTCCCTGCTGAGAGAATTCCTGGTAAATATTTGGCCCCCATAAACGAGCCAAGAGCATCGTTTACCGCAGCAGGAGCCAGCGCCAGAGCCGATGGCTGCGAATCCCCCCATAACCCAGCGAGTGCCACCAGCACCGCCGTCCCCCTCCCCGCGCAGAGCCCTGGCCCCTCGCAGAGAGGAGCGGGGACGTGATATCTGCTAATTCCTTGCAAATCCTCAGAGGAGAGGTGCCAGAGAGGAGCATGAGATGTGCCGCAGCCAGAAGCTGACCTGCCATAATAATTTGTTCAGCTCTAATCCCTTCCCTCCGGGGCTCGCGAGTATTAATGATGACACACGGCACTCCTGAGGAATGGGCAAATATTATTATGCTCTTCCCAGCCTCCCCCCACTCTTTGTAAAGCGGAGAAACTGCAGCATCGGGAAACACATAAAGAGACCATTGAAGCACCAATCGCAGATACCCGCAAGAAAATGTTGTCGCCGCTTAAGTCGTAGTCCTGCAAAGTGAACTCCCCTCTGGGGGAACGTGAAAAAGCCACTTCAGCTGGTGGCAAGCACCTGGATTTATTCGGTTACGCCTGGCTTCCCCATCCTGGTGCGCTCAGAGCAGCTTTATCAGGACAGCCAGGAGTCGGGAAGGCTTTAGCTGTCGTACAAAGAGAAACCCAAGGAGGCAGCCCGAAAATCCTCAGCACAGGCAGGGATGCAGCCGCAGCCTGCGCCTTCCCCGGGAAGGGGAGGACAGGTCCCCATCCGCAGGCAGCAGGATTTGGCTGAGAGCCCTGCGGGACGCAGACAAATCACATTGAGTCAAGAAGCAGCAGGGCAGGGAGAGCAGAGTGTCTGTAAGACATACGGCAGCCTGGAGCCGTGGCTGGCTGCCTGCCACACGCTCCCTTTAGGAAGGAAGAAGACCTTGAGAAACAAAAGAGTACGCAAGGCACAGTGGAGTAACCTGCGC